TTAACCTTCAACTTAAACACCCATTTATGATTGTCAAGGATGGAGTTTACTCCTTACCTACGGTGATTATTTATCTAATTTTTGGTTGAGATCTATACGTGTGAATATTATAACAATATGGTATATATGTTTGAATTTTGTGACACCGTCACAATTATATATGTACACACACATTATTATTGACTTGAAAATTTGTATGTATTCAAATTCAACATTCTCAAAAACTCTATATATAACCAGACACACTTAACACAATTAATATAGCTCTAAACCAAAAAACAAAATCAAAAGATGTCTCAAAGACTCATGTTCTTGGTCACCCTTAGCTTCTTCACTTTATTATCATCTCCTTCTCTCGCCGTCGAATTTCCGACCGTCGGAAATGCCATGCCACTGACAAATATATGTCGGTTCGCGCCGGATCCATCTTATTGTAGATCGATTCTGCCAAACCAGCCCGGAGATATTTACTCCTACGGTCGTTTCTCCCTCCGACGGTCCCTCTCACGTGCCAATCGGTTCATGTCCCTGATCGACGCTGAACTAAATCGAAAAGGCAAAGTGGCTGCTAAAGCCACCGTAAGAGCACTCGAGGACTGCAAATTCCTAGCCGGTCTGACTATGGACTTCATACTTAGTAGCTCACAGACCGTCGATGCTACCAAAACGTTGTCGTATTCTAGGGCCGAGGATGTTCATACTTTTCTAAGTGCTGCGATCACCAACGAACAGACTTGTCTTGAAGGACTTAAATCGACGGCGTCGGGAAATGGTTTCTCCGGTGATCTTTTCAACGATACTAAACTCTATGGTGTCTCTCTTGCCCTTTTTTCCAAAGGTATATATAATAAATAAATTAATACATGCACGTATTCTCTATTTATTTTAATTTTAAATATGCATGTAATCTTATACACATGTGTCACGAAATCTGCATTTAACTAGCATTTTATTTCTATAATTCTTGTTTTCATTAAGAGATTCGTTTTCATTTGATTAAAGTGACAAAATCATGATCCAATCTCCCTATAAAACTAGAAATAAAAAATACGCAATTTTAGATATACTCTGTGTTATATCAACTAGTGTAAAATAGATTAAAATTTGGTATTTTGACTTTGTAGGTTGGGTGCCAAGAAGGCAAAGATCAAGACCGGTTTGGCAACCAGAAGCGAGTTTCAAAAAGTTTTTCGATTTCCGTAACGGTAGACTACCGTTAAATATGACGGAAAGTGCACGTGCCGTTTACGACACGGTGACTAGGAGAAAGCTTCTCCAAGCTGGAGCAGACGCCGTTCAGGTGAGCGACATTGTGACGGTGAACCAGAACGGAACGGGAAACTTCACGACCATAAACGAAGCCGTTGCAGCCGCGCCAAATAAAACTGACGGTACTAACGGTTATTTCTTGATCTACGTAACGGCGGGATTGTACGAGGAATATGTTGAGATTCCTAAGTACAAGAGGTATGTGATGATGATCGGTGACGGCATTAACCAAACGGTTATCACCGGAAACCGGAGCGTCGTTGATGGTTGGACCACTTTCAATTCCGCCACATTTAGTAAGTTCATATTTACTCTCACAAATCATATAACATATATAACCAATTCGATATTGAGAAATATGTGTTTTTTTATATTCTCAAAAACGTAGATACGTGCAAAAAGTGGAACATAATATCCGGTTTAAAATTGATGAGTATAAATTATAGCATTCGAGTTTTGGTCACCACAAATTAAAAAATTGTTTGAAAATATGAAGACATGTGCACAAGACATGGCTTCTTCGTGCAAGTGCATGCAATGTAACCTTTATTTTAGAATCTTTTTTAGTTTTTTTTTATCGATATTTAAGACACAATAATGTTTATTAGCAAAACATAAAAATAATTGCTAAGTCCACTTTCACTTTTAGTATAACCTTTCCCATGCAACTAGAAGGCGACTTGGTCGGATGGTCCACGTCAATTCGTCGTGTACTAACCTAATACCATAGTCCATTAAACTAAAATATTTCTCAAAATGTCATTTATTTCAAAAAAATTATTTTTTTATAGTTTCTTTATAATAACAACCTTTAACGAACTATTTTCCTTTAATCTAAAATTGTACATTTGTTTTAACAATGAATCATTTAACTAAGTCTATACATTTTGTTCACAAATCGCAGTTTTATCAGGACCGAACTTCATTGGCGTGAACATAACAATCCGTAACACGGCAGGACCAACCAAAGGTCAAGCCGTCGCATTGAGAAGTGGTGGAGACTTCTCTGTTTTCTATAGTTGTAGTTTTGAAGCCTATCAAGATACCTTATACACGCATTCTCTAAGACAGTTTTATCGCGAATGTGATGTATATGGTACAGTCGATTTTATATTCGGTAACGCTGCAGTAGTATTACAAAACTGTAATCTATATCCACGCCAACCTCGTAAAGGTCAGTCTAACGAAGTTACGGCTCAAGGTCGTACCGATCCGAACCAGAACACTGGAACAGCGATCCATGGTTGTACGATAAGACCAGCGGATGATTTGGCTACGAGCAATTATACAGTGAAGACTTATCTTGGTCGACCGTGGAAGGAATATTCAAGAACCGTTGTTATGCAGACTTACATTGATGATTTTCTTGAACCGACTGGTTGGAACGCATGGAACGGTGATTTCGCATTGAGTACACTTTACTATGCGGAATACAATAATACCGGACCTGGTTCTAACCTCACTAACCGAGTCACTTGGCCAGGTTATCACATCATTAACGCTAGTGATGCTTCTAATTTCACGGTCACTAATTTCCTTGTTGGTGAAGGTTGGATCGGACAAACTGGAGTTCCTTTCGTGGGTGGACTGATTGCATAATTTAACTTTATAGTATAACATGTCACACTATATGTTTAGTTAATTATATCATTTAATTGTCATTCATGTGTTATTTTTTAATAAATTAAAATAATTGTGAATTCGAGTCAATTTAGCGACTACGATTTGTCATGACAATTACTATTACTTGATTAGCTACAATATTCAGAAGTGAATCATTTTCTTCGAAATTTAATAACATTTAAAAAGACTAAGCTAAATAACATTGGAGATCGAAAAATAGCCTTTTCAATCAAATAAAACCCGATTACCCGGAATTTACTATTTAGATCCGGTTTGGTTGGGTAGACCCGGATTAGAGGTGGGAATCTCCACTGTAATACCGACTAGATCGATCGGTTCTTTCTCACAAATTTCCATCGGAAATTTCACCGGCGAAGATACGGATGAAGAAGAAGAGGAGCTTCCGATTTCCATGTCCTCGACCGGTTTAACTGGTTCGGTGGATTCGGGCCGAGTTAACGGGTTGAACCGGAGCTCTGGAAAGTGGGCAAGTGGCGATGCAATCGACGTGAAAAGTGTGGCCACAGTTTGGAAGAATACGTCATCTTCTTCTAATTCCACGTTCACTAATTTCCTTGTTGGTGAAGGTTGGATCGGACAAACTAGAGTTCTTTTCGTGGGTGGACTGATTGTATAATTTAACTTCATATTATAATAT